TTTTCCAATGTTGATAGGATTTTGTATATATATGAGCATTATAGTTAAACTTATAAATGCCGAGATTGCTAAAGCTATCGTGAAAAACAAAAATTGTTTCCATACAACTTAATTTGGACAGAGGTGGCGACAAGTGATTTTTTTTTTTTTTTTTTGCTAGTGTGACTGTTGAGTTGAGTCGACAGCAAGTAATGCGGTCAGTTGCGAGTTCGAAGCCTGCCAAAGGAACTTTTGTTTTAATATATTTGGTGTTGGAAAGGGGGGTTCAGGGAGGGGTTCGGGAGCTCCCGAGTAGAACCTCTTACTTATCACATTTGGCATTTAGGACATCTACGTATGTACGCTTTTATATGCCAGATTCAAATTTCAAATTTTTCCAATAGCAGTGTCTTAATTTTCGCTTGCGTTTTTGTTTTGCCAGTATTACCTCCGTGATGCATATGCTAAATCTTTGCGAAAGTCTGGGTATTATAATAGCGTAGGGTGCATTAGCTTTTAATACCCTGTACCCATTGAAAATGCGTAATGTTTTTGTGCAAATTTATGAAATAGAAGTAAGGCAGAAGGAAGTATCTCCGGCCACATAAAGATTACAAGTTCTTGATCAGCATCTAGCCGTGTCCGTCTGTCTGTCCGTCTGTCCGTATGTATTAACAGAGAGCTCTCAGTTGAGAGTGATTGACGTGTTTTACTTGTGCTCCAAGATTTTTATATATTTTTGCGCTTTTATCCTGCTTTTTATTTCAAAATTTTGCATTTTTCGGTGCTTTATTTGAAAAGCTTTAATAAACTGTGCAAAGTGTTATCTGTTGTGCAGCGTAAGTCTGTTAATTATTACATTTTATAAAGCGCGGCATCAGTTCCGTGTTGTTGTTATTGCCTGTTTTGATTCTTTTGCTTTGGTGCTCCCCTGTGCATACACTTGTTTGTGCGTGTGTTCGCTGCATACTTTCTGCTTGTGCATCGCGCTCTCGCAAACTTTTTCTATTGCTTTTCGCTCCAAACAATTTGTTTGTGTATTTACTTGCTCTATCTTGTGCACCGTTTTCGTTTTGCTCTGTGCTCTCGCAATTTGCATACGCATTAAATAATTATGTTGTGCTGTAAGAAACCGTGCACGTTCAAGCAGGCTGATGATTCTGCACTGCCGCACTTTGTTAATTGCTGGCTGTGTGAGAATATGATGCATGCTAAATGTGCAGGTCTCACTGGGCGTGATTGCGACAAGATCGCTGCTATTGCCAAGAAGGGCTGTGGTGGCTTGCGTTGGTCGTGCCCAGAATGCATCGAAAAGCAAATTGATTTCTCTAGAATGTATAATTCTGTGAGAAGTCAATTCTTAAAATTAAATAATGTGGCTAAGCAGCTCTCGAGTAATTTTGACTCGAGTTTCGAGTTGCTTGGCAAATATAAATTTGAGTCCCCAACCAATCGCCGGTTGGAGCATCAACTTTTGCAATTGCCCTCTACGTCTGTTCAGACACCTAGGACTTTCTTGTCCCTTCCTAGCAACTTGGAGGTATCTCCAATGTTGTCTTTATCGCCTTCTCCAAGCGACTGTCCAATTACCCCTGTTTCAACCCCTGTACTAGTCCCAGTAGAGCCCGTACCTGATCCCGTCCCAATTAATCAAACTGCCTCAGCCCCATCAGCTCCTGGCCGCAAAGGTAGACCTGCGCGCAATCTTGCCCAGATTGTTAAAAACAATCATTGTGCCTCGTTAGCTCCCCCAACTCCTGTATTACCTACAGTCCCATCAGCACCTACTTTAACGGCAGTTGCCCCTCGTAGGCAAGTTTTTGTGTCTCGACTTTCGGCGGACACCACTTCTGAGTCATTGGCAGCCTATATTGCTAGCAAATCTTCTGCTAGCGTGTCAATAACCAAATTTAATTTCTCCACCCCTCGTGAAATATCATCATTCAAAATAAATGTTTCACATGATATGTTCCCAATCACATGTGATCCCAAATTTTGGCCTCCACACGTGATTGTTCACGAGTTCCAACCTAAAAAGTGTAACCAGCCTGTCACCCTTCCAGTCCCTTCAATACAGGGTACCATTTCTGCCCCGGAAAACTAACTTTATCTTCTGAACAAATCTTTATTCATTATCAGAATGTCAGAGGTCTCATGTCAAAGCTTAAAAAATTTCATGGCCAGCACTTCCTTCGAATCGGATATAATAGCATTTTCAGAAACATGGTTGAACTCAACCATATCTGATTTTGAGATTTTATCAAATAACTTTATTTTGTATAGAAATGATCGGCCGACTCGAGGTGGTGGGGTGTTAATTGCCGTTTAAGCCACTCTCCAGTCTGAACTTTTCTGTTTTATTACGCTTACTGACGCTGAGATTGTCTCAGTTAAGGTGTCTTTTCCTACACGGAATGTCTATGTAACATGCTCTTATGTCCCACCTTCTTCTGATATTCAAGTTTATATGAAACATATTACTTGTATTAAAGAAGTTTCTTCACACGTGCGTGATAATGACCTATTAATGGTGTTGGGTGATTTTAATTTGCCCAACATCTCTTGGTCATTATTTACTGCCAAAAATTATCTAGTGCCCTCAGCACAACACGATTTTATAGACTGCATGCTTGATCTTTCGTTGTTTCAAATCAATTCAATTTCTAATCATTTGATTAGAACACTTGACCTTGTATTTGTTAACGACTACCTTATTTCTAATGTGTCTAGGTCCCCTCCTTTATCTCTTCCTGAGGATGTCTATCATCCAACTTTAGAGATTGCAATGCTAAATTGTAATCCTTTCATTTCGTGCTCATCAGCCAATAAGCCCCGCTATTGCTTTCGCAAAGGAAATTATTCTTTGCTGAATCAGCTTATTTATTCAACCGATTGGTTTTTCTTATATGACTCAGTTGATATGAATACAGCCCTTAATTTTTTTTACATCACCCTAATCTCCCTCTTAGATGTGTGTATTCCTAAGTCAATTCCTTCGACTACTTTTTCAAAACCACCCTGGTTTACTACCAGATTATCACATCTAAAAAATGTAAAATCTAAATATTTTAAAAGTTTAAAAAGTCTGGTTCGTGTACAGACTTGGCTAAATATTCCATAGCCAAGTCGAACTTCTTTCTTAATAAATCTCAATGCTACACTGACTTCAGTAAGGCGTTTAACTCTGTGCCCCATGACATTTTGCTTTTTAAACTTGACCGAATAGGTTTCCCCCTGTCTCTTCTGCTTTGGATTAATTTTTATTTAAAAGGTAGGACCCAAAGAGTAATGCTGAAGCTGACTACCTCTAAACGGGTTCACGTTACTTCTGGTGTTCCTCAAGGTAGTCATCTTGGACCTTTACTCTTTACTCTTTTTATAAATGATCTCCCCTCTGTTATATCACATGCCCGTGTACTCATGTATGCGGACGATGTCAAACTTTTTCTATCATACACTAATTCCCTACATCATTCTCGTCTACAAGACGATTTGAACGCTATGCAACTATGTTGTTCGGCCAATCAATTGCATCTAAATTGTTCAAAGTGTATGTTTATGACTTTTAATCGTACTACGCCTTATCTTGTCAGTTATACAATCAACAATATCCCTTTGCAACGTATACTAACAGTTAAGGATCTAGGCGTAATTTTTGATTCTAAACTCTGTTTCAATCTTCACATAGATACCATCGTTAATGAGGCAAAAGGTGTACTTGGATTCATTAAACGATGGTCTAAAGACCTTTTATAACAAAACTTCTGTACATCCCTCTTGTTCGCCCTATCCTTGAATACTGCTCTTGCATCTGGTCTCCACAGTATAACAATAGCCAGGATCGTATTGAATCTGTTCAGAAGCAATTTCTGCTTTTTGCCTTACGAGGTTTAAATTGGGACCCTAATCTTCGGCTGCCATCCTACTCCAGCAGACTGCTTCTTCTCAACCTTCCGTCTTTAACCAACCGAAAAACAATTCTCGGTGTTGTCTCTTCTGTTCCGGCTAGACCAACCCTTTTTACTATCTATCTACGTGCACAACAGACTACGCTATGCACAATCCTTTTCGCGTGCTATGTAAAAATTATAATAGTTTGCATCACGTTTTCTCTACCGAACTGTCTCTACCCCTAATAAAATCTTTGCTTTCAGGATACCTTCGGGAAGTCGCTGACCATTCCCAGCTATGAAAAGGGGCATAGCTTGCCGGACTGGCAAATAAAACACCTCCATCGGTCGATGATGCTATTTAGAAAATTGTATCCTTTAACTAGGCTTTTAGCATAAAATTTTATCGTATAATCTATTGAATAATGAGGAAGACACTCGTTTTGTCGACCATTAATAAATAAATACAATAAATAAAATAAAATACAAATAACGCCAGGTAATCAGAGCCTATAAGAGCTAGAGAATTGAAATTTTAGCTGTAGGTTCTCCTAGTTCCTGCGCAGACTTTGCCCGTTTTCAAGCAATCGATAAAAATCGATTGATAAAATAATAAGAGCTTAAGTTACCAATTTGATATGTTGCCTCTAGAACAGTATATATAAATATCAAGTATCTTTCATTTTATATCTATCGCCACCTCCACGATACCACCGAACAGCTATAAATCAAGTTAATAACCCAAATTGTATTGCCCTCCTATTTAAGCTTAAATTTTATTGCAATTGTCATTTTGATAACAAGATCGGTTAACAAACACAAGTGAAAATGTGCTTTGGCTGCCCACCCCACTTGTTTGCGGCAGCCAGCGCAAATTCCAGGAATTTCATGCGTGTCTGCTTCGAGCTCTACCTCTAGGCAAAATATATGTTTCTGTCGAATGCGTTTGTAATCCTTAATGCTTATATCGGGAGAACGAGTTTGGGTAGAAGGTATCTCCTAGTTGACCACTCGCGCATAGAGCAATCATTATTTTCTTTTTAAGAGATGGGAACTGTGAACTTATGGCGTACTCTCGCATTTATAATTACCATTTAATCTATATCTACAATTTTTCTGTTTATTTACCAGGTCAAAAGTTCATAGTCAAGATTTTTAAATTGGTAAAGTACTTGCACGATCGGCTTGTTGCTGCACAAGAAAATCTTCTGGTTATCAAGGAAAGTATTAGAGCTTGGGGTAAGGTGCCACTGTTTCAGCGAAAAGATCTTAACCCGCAGCTAATGCTTCACACGGATCCGCGAGATGTTATACTAATGGAGCGCGCTGAAAAAGCTGCGGTTACTCAACGGCTTATTGACCTTCTTATGTATGTGAACTTGAAACTCTTTTTTGATATTCCTCGACGGTATACGCTGCCTTCTGGAGAGGGAGGGGAAGAAGAAGATGATGGTGATGACATTTGGCCACCAGTTTTAAGCCTTTCTGCCATATCGAAAGTAGTCAAGTCCAAAAAGAAAAATGAAAAACATAAAAATGAAAAGCAAGAGGATAGAGAAGAAGAAGAACGTTCTGGAAGCGAAGAAGAAACTATAACGCCATTTCACAGGTTCGAGTTGCTCAAAGGCATTACTGAAGAAGAGCGGAACCTCTTTCGAGAGTATGAGAAATATGTAGACACTATTATTGCTCAATGCCTGCTAGATAGTGTTATAACGAGCGTTACATATCTGCGGTTGGAGGTTGAAAATCGTTATGAAAATAATGCACCCATATTTGAAATATTCATGGAGCTACAAGAGCCAATCGTTGTATATTTTCTAAATCTTGATCCAAATTCAAAGACAGGTTTTGTATTCTTTGCGGAAACTCTGCTGGATGATGTTTACGAAACAATGAATTTGTTATATCGCGTAGCTCAAGATCCACCAGAAATCACCGAAGAGGACGCATTACGTTTTATGGGTAAGCACGTCGCCTTCAACAAGCGTTATTATGGTTAATAATAAATATAATTTGTTTTAATTTAATGAGGAATAACACAGACCGTTCTCTCTTATTTGCATTTGATTTCCATTGGCGAGTATGTTAAGAGATTTGCATAAGATTTATGTATATTAGAAATAGATGAACCTAACAGCTACAAAATTAAATGCTACAAAGGAATGTCAATGAAAAGAAGAAGACAAATTATTTCAAATGTATTCGTTCCCTTACAACATTTTTAATAATATTATTATTTTACCCTGAAACTATTGAAAACGAGTAAAAAGTGTACAATGTTTTTGTGCAAATGTATGTAACAGGCACAAGGAAGCATCTCCGACCCCATTAAGTGTATATATTCTTGATCAGCATCAATGTTCGAGTCGATCTAGCCATGTCCGTCTGTCTGTCCGTATGTTCGTCCGTCCGTCCGTCCGTATGTTGAAATTTTAGCTATAGAAAAGTATATATATATCAAGTATCTTTTATATTATACTTATTGCCACCTCTCCGCTACCACTACAGAGCTATAAGTCAAGTTAGTAACCGAACTTGTATTTAAGTCACAATTTTAATGCAATTGACTTTTAAAGAACACACAAATATTCTATAGTACAATAATAACGGATTAAAAAAAAAAAACAAAGTTATGCTTCACTGCGCAATTGGATGGGGTGCACATTCGAAGAATTACTCTATACACATTTATGTGCGTCTGCTGCGAATCACATATACCAACAGCATTGCAATTGCGATTCCTTTCTGTACTGCTATTGTAATCCGATTTTTTTTTTATATTCCGCAATATCCGCCCTTTTTTCTTACAAGAAAAGTGATTGCAATTATTTTTCTCCATATATATATATACTAGCGGGTATAGTCCGGCCTTGCCCGTGGCAAATAAATAACTTTCATTCAAACGTTTTCCTCCAATTTACCACTATTGCGGGTGGAATTTTCTAAATCTTTAAAATACGTATTCATTAGGGTTTTATGTATAGCTTTAAAAAAAATTTTGAAGCAAATCGGAAAAAAATTCAATCACCAAAGAAGTCTTTTAATTGCACTTTTTACCGAGGATGCTTTGATTCTGCGAAAAAACACTCGGCATACAGTGTTTTGGGCCAATGGTGGCTCGACAGGACGCCTTGGAGAATGAACTTGGGAAACCTAACCGTGGACCCAAGACCTGGCACTTGCGACACTTGTCCTTGCTGGTGGTGGGCCAGGCGATTTGGGCAGTATTTGTTCACCATTTGTTAATCGAGGATTCTAATCTCTACTGGGGGTTGGATTAATGAAAAATTGGAGACTAGGTTCTACTGGCAGACTAGGTCTTCATGTTGGAAATCTCGCGTTGGAGTTTGCCATTTGTTTAATTTTTCTTCCAGATGTTAATTTTTCCAACGGAGGAAGAACTGTTGTTGCAAAGCCGTCAATCGCTACCAGCGGTTGATGATGTACGTGGCTTTTTCCTTTATCTCTGGCTCTGCGACTGAAAGTAGAGGACACCCTACAGGGAAATGTCCGGGAGTCAGAGCCAAGAGATCAGTATGATCTTCCGAAGTTGGAGAAATCGGTCTCGAATTCAGACATGCTTCAACCTTGGATAGGAGCGTGGAGAGGTTTTCCAACATGTATTTAAAGGACGTTATGGACTTAGAAGGATTGAAGGGCGAGGCCATTCTGAGACTATAAGTGGATTTCCACAAAATCGCGTGACAGAACTTTGGCCTCTCCAACGAAAGTCTTGCCGTTGCCAGAATGCATTCGACCTGGGCACCCATGTCGTGCCACAAATCTCGCAAATGACCGCTAGGAAATTTTCCGTGGTTAGGTCAGATGTAGCCTCTAGACGGATGGTTTTGGTGCTGAAGCACACGAAGACGCACACGTGGCCTTTTGTAATAATTCAGGCACAGCCGGCTCTTGTGTGAGTGAATGACCGAGAGAATGTGACTCTCTCCACATGTAAGTCGCCCATGAGATGCAGAAGTGCACAAATCCAGTCGTGGCAAGCATACCGCCTTGAAGGAAGCGACCCACGTTTTTGCTGTTTTATAAGCGAAAATGTATCTCAGTCCGCATGTAAACAGCAGCGTCACAAAATTGAATATTCCCCTGAGGGCGGAATTTGACCCATTTATAATTGCACTAAAGTCCGCATATTCTTAGAGGAATAACTGCCTATCCCAGGTGTTCGAGCCAGATCTCTTATATAAATATTTTTGCCTGAACCATGACTGGACCCAGCCATCATGCAGTATCGAATAGTTTGTCAATCTGTGGGAGGACCTAACATTTAGAGACGGACTGCTTGGTTATCATCTCGGATAGAGAACTAGAACTCATCGGCGACAGCTTTCCATCTGATCCATCTTAGCAAGTCCTTTTCATTGGATGTGACAGATGGTGCAGCATGGTGTGGAAGATAAAAGTTATCCGACCCACTGCTTGGATGGACTTGATGCATATGACTTAAGTCCAGATATTCCTGGATCACCGCGTCGTACTGCTCTTTAAGGTAGGCATTTTTTGACAAACGATTCTTGGTTCGAAGGAATTGAGCTAGTAGTAATCTCAGAATCCGGTTCAATGGCAACCATTTCAATCATGCAGTCCAAGTACGACTACTGTTACTCGGTATATAAACTTAGCGAGCAAATCGCCCAAAATAAGCCGCCCGCTAAGTCCGCCATTCCGACATATGTTCCCACTTACCTCCTTGCCACACAGAAATCTTCAGCGGAGATTACATACGTTGGCCCACATTTAGATACCTCTTTACAGCAATGTATATAAAGAATCCTAGGTTATCGAGGCCTCACCGAAAATGAGGATCCCATATATTTTAAATTGTATCCATATCCAATGGACGTAGCAAACTTCGTAAATTCCGAAATGCGAGATTTTCTCAAAGATGGATTAATCAGACCATCAACGTCACCATACAACAACCCCGTAGGGGTCGTTGACAAAAAAGGAACTGATGAAGATGATGAACGCTTTCATTAAATTCTACTCGCGGAAAAACATAGAGAAAAAACAGCTTCACACAGAAATCTTCAGTGAGATTACATACGTTGGCCCACATTTCGAGACCTCTTTACCGCAATTTACATAAATAATCCTAGGTTATCCGAGGTCGAGAAATTATTCCATCTCAACGCGAGAACCAGCGGTGAGGCTCAGGCGATTGTATCGAAGTCACCTTTGATAAACGATGGCTTCCGATCAGCCTGGGCCAATCTGACTGATCGTTTTGAGAACAAGACATTGTTAGTCAACAGCCAGCTCAAGGCTCTTTTTCAACCTGCAGCCAACCTCCCAAGATTCTGGAACGGCAATAAAGGATCTTTAGAGCACCATTCAGGGTTGCTTAACAGCTCTGGAGTTATCCGAGATTAATATCGAAAACTGGGACTGTATCCTCGTGTTTCAATTACCTTTCAAGCTATCCAAATTAACACTCTCCTTATGTGAACAGTTAATCTCGAAAAAGAATAACATCTCACCTTGGCGAATGCCTTTTTCTTAGAATGCTATCGCACTCTAGATGCGATTGAAGGGCTTAAGCCAAGCGTAAAGACTCCAGCGCTGTCAAGAATTGTTCGCACAGAATCTCCTACCACAAAAAGGCTTAACTCATTAGAGAATAAGGTCGCTAACAAGCCGCAAACCTGCAAATTTTGCTCCAGTGAGAATCACCCTATCCGTCTGTGCCATCAATTTCTCCAAACTCACATCAGCGAACATGGAGCTTACATCAAACAGCAAAACCTATCTTTGAACTGTCTGGCTAGGGTTCATCAGTTAAGGGATTGCACAAGTGCTCACAATTGTTTTTTTGTGCAAGGGTCGTCACAATACGCCCCTGCAACGTAGTGACACTACACAATTGGCCCCTGCGGTAGTCGCCACAAGCAACAGCTCCAATCCAATCAATCCATATAGTCCACTCCATCCCAACAAACGAATGTTCACAATTATGTTGCAATTAACACCCACGGTGTTCTTCTAAGCACGGCCAGAGTGCTTCTCGACACCGGAACACCAGTGGCGCAGAAGGAGCGTGCACAGCCGTGCTACGCTCCAAGACAACTCAAATGTCTCGAGACTTAATCATCTTAAAGGCTAACCCCCAATTCAACTGTATAACTCCAGTCAGATCCATCAGAGCAGATATAAAGGACCCGTTCAGCAACGTCGTTTTGGCCGACAACAACTGGTTCCGCCCAGCTCCAGTACCATTGGTACTTGGCGCCGACTTCTACCCTCACATAATCTTACCGGATATCCACCCGCGCCAAGGAGGAATTAAAGAATCAAGGAATATCCAATCACCAAATGGTATGTCTGTGTCTTCGTGTGGTTCAGCACGAAGGTAATTCATCAAGAAGCTACCACCGACTTAATCACGGAAAGATTCCTGGCTGCTTTTTTACGGTTCATAGAAAGACGTGGCCTTTCCCAGCAGATGTATTCAGATAATGGAAAACAGCCATTAAAACTTGTGTTGGCATTGCAACCCTCCATAAATCCACCTCATCCTCAAAATATACATTTGAGGAGTTCACGACTCTCCTCTCCAAGATTGAAGCCTGCCTTAACTCCAGGTCAATCTCTCCAATGTCGGAAGATCCGACTGATTTATTGGCTCGAAGTCCAGGGCACTTCCTAGTTGTCGGTCCTCTACTGTCAATTAACGAGCCAGTAATCAAAGAACACGCTATTTCTTATTAACCGCTGGCAGCGACTCAAAGCGCTCCACCAGCAATTCTGCTTCCGATGGAAAAACGAGTATTTAAAAGGGCTCCATAAGCGAAACAAATGGCAGTCCCCTACAAGGGACCTCCAAGTCGGTGATATGGTGATTGTTAAGGAAGATAACCAACCAATAAATGAATAGCGCCTTGGTCGAGTCCAGCTGGCTTGCCCAGACACAGATGAAAAGGTCCGCGTATTGGACGTGCTTACCG